GGGCCGCCAACATGAGGGACTCTGTCATGTCCTCACATGGTTCTTTCTGTGAGAGTCTAGGAATGGCCCACTCCTTACATGTGTCTGAAAACATCTTTAAATTGCTCTCTTGAATGAATGAAATGCATGAAGTCCTATCCCTTTACATTTTTATGTTACAAATACTTACAATCTACTATCTCTCGAATAGCTTTGCCCATGGTGTTGTTCATTGAACAGAAATCCTAAATTTTGATGTAATCAAGTTTATCAAGTTTTCATCTACGAGTTGTGCACTGGTTGCTTATGATGTTTTCCTACACTTGGGTCACAAAAATATTCTCCTATATTTTATTCTCTTAACTTTATAATTTTACCTTCCAAAATTATGTTTTCAACCCTAGATTCCACCTTTACATGTGGTATTAAATAGGGGAACTTTTCCATTTTTCTCCATGGAGTGAAGTTTTCTGGACACCAATTACTAAATAATCTGTACTCCTGTCGTTGACTTGTGGGACCTCCTTAATTGTATCTTAGGGTTCACTATATAAATGGGTTTATCTCCGAGCTCTGTTCCTTAGGTTAGTTTTCAATTGGTTAGTATTGAATTGTTCCCATTATATGGATTTTTTGTTTGTCTTAATAGCTACCAGGGAAAGTTTCCATTCTTTCCTCTTCCTTTTCAGAGTTGACCCCTCTATTTATGGACCTTTGTTTTTCCATTTAAACTTTGGAATTCATGACATTCCTCAAAGTATCCAGCTGGATCCTTTGATTGGGTTGTATTGACATTATAGATTAATTTAGGAAAAATCGTCACCTTTGTGGTAACATACTATATTCCCTTCTATCTAAGTGTGTGAAATGTCTATTTAGTTCCACTTTATTTGTTTAAGTTAAAACTTTACAGTATTTTCTATAGCGATCTTCTGAATTTTTTTTTAATTTCTAGAAACTTTATACTATATTGATTCTGTTCCTACAGAGAATGTATCTTATTTTTCATTTTGTTTTCTAGTAGGTTACTGTTATTATACCAAATACTTTCAATTTTTATACACTTACTGCTTACCTTGCCACAGCCTTATTCTCATCATTTATTGATTCTCCTGGTTTTTCTATTCAGGTAATTGTAATCACCTACAAATAAGGAGCTTTTTCTTTTTCCTTTACAATAATTATACTACTTTTTTCTTTTTTAAATAGTATTCATCAGGATCTCCATTAATATGTTAAACAGCAGAGTTTTAGTTCTGAGTGTTACGAGTGTGATACTTATTTTTCTATTCTTAAGTCTTTGTCTTTTTAAGGAGACAAAAAAATGTATTTTCTTCTATAAACCTCAGGCACCCTCCTTGATTTATTTCTGTTCTTGAGTTCTTTCTCTAGGAGTTTTTCAAAGTAGGAGTGTTTTAGGGAATAAATATTTTGAGGTCTTCTTTACCTCCCAATATTTTTTATTGTGGCTTCAGAGTTAAATGACAGTCTAGTTGGGTATAATAATTCTAGGTTTAAATTTCTTTTCCCTTTAATATTTTAAAAATATTAAATCAGTTATCATTATATCCAATATTTTGAAATTTGATATAAATATGCTGCTTCTTTGTTGGTAACCTACCTCTCCTCTTCGAAGACATTTAGAATTATGACCTTAAATTTCTCTATAAATGTCTTAGAAGTTTTTCCTTATCTACCCTGCAGGATTGGGAAGAGAGTGAGGCAAATAAGAAGGCTAGGGTGCAAAATTTAAAAAGGCTCCCATTTCCCAGGATTATGCTAGCACCCCTTAAATTTTGCATCCCACTGCCTCACTTACTCCTGGCCCTGCTACATGTGGTAATCTGTGAGCCTTTTCAGTCTGGGGTTTTTGAACTTTAATTCTTGGATAGTTATCATTATTTCTTCAAGTATTTCCTTCTCTCTATTTCTTCTTCTAAGTCTCCTGAATTCTAGCATTGGTACTTGTACCGTCCGTGTCTCTTAGCTTCTACTATATATTTTTATTTCTCTATACTTTCCTGCCGCCTTTTGGGAGAGCTTCTTAATCTGATTTTCTACTTCATGAATCATGTTATTTATCTCATCTTTTTTATTTTAATTATTTTTATTTCTAATATTTCACATAATTTTTTATGATGACTAATTCTTGCTTCATAATAATACCTTCTATATCTTTGAGGATATTTGTTATGCTTATTTTAATTCTTAGTCTACAGATTCTAGTAATACTGCTTCCCATAGTATATATTTTAAATTTTGTTGTCTTTCTTTTATAGTCTGGGGTGTCCAACCCGCAGCCCAGGCTGTCTATGAATGAAGCTCAACACAAAATCATAAATTTACTTAAAACCCTTTTTTAAATTTGCTCATCAGTTTTTTCATTTTTGTTAGCATTTGCATGTTTAATGTGTGACCCAAGACAACTCTTCTTCTTCCAGTGTGGCCCAGAGACCCAATCTGTTGGTCAGGTTCCCCGAGGGAAATCAGCAGCCCTGTGCAGGCAAAGACTAAATACAAGGGAGGCTTGTGTGCCTCCCATTGAATTTCAGGAAAGAAAATAAGGGTTGGGCTGGAGAGCATCAGTCCCCATGAAACGGTGCTGACCATCTCCAATTGTTGTCACTGCTCTAGACCAGTCGTCAAGTCAGGACTCTGCTTCTTTCCCCTTTACACTCTTAAAAGAAGCGTCACTGAGAGAAGGACGTCTCTTGGCATTTTTCACCCCCCAGCACTGATGGTTGCTAGGGGGATGGTGGAGGAAACCCCTAAAGGGCAGCACACACCTTTTTTTTTTATCACCTTCTTACCCAAAGGGACTTCTGTGCGTTCTGATGTTACTGAATTGATAACAGATGGCTAGACAGTTTCTGCCAGTTTCTGCCAGTTTCTGCCAGTTTCTGCAGCCCTGCGGCAAGCAGTAATCTCCCCAAGACAATGTGTGGAAAAGTCAAGAGCAGGTTTCAGAAGCTTTCCCCAACCTATTCTCTGTTGGCTGCACGTGACCTCCCTACCCTCCTGCAAGCTGCCTCCAACCTTTATAGCAGTTCACTAACGCCTCACAGATTTGGGTAGTTCCTCAGGTTCATGCTTCTCCCTTCCACAGCTTCCCCTTTGTGGTGAAAGCCCAGGCTTGGGGACTTCATTACCCCTTCCTGATTAATGCCTCAGTTTAGAGCCGCTTTATGTTACTTAAAAGGTTATCAAACCGTGTTTCTGAAAACACTGATGTTCTGTGAGCTGGACCAAGGCATTCACCCAGAAACTGGGAGTCTTTTTCCCAATTGATGGAAAAAAATAGTTATGGTTAGAATTTTTCAATATTATAATTTTCCACAAATTTCTATTAAATCTTTGGCACCTATTGTTCTTTTGTGTGCTAGCGAATCTGAAAAGAAATGTAATGATTAAGTAGGAAATAAGTTTTGAATATCTGATCTCAATTAGAAATCAAGAACGTGTTACCAACTAGCATTTTGTTTTTTTACCAACTGACTGGGAAAAGATTGTCATTTCATATGCCATGTACGTATCTGACCACTCATCAGTGTTGCTCACATTAGTTTATATCAGCGGTTGAATCCTGACTTGATGAATGCTTAATAAATGTGCATTTACCAACATATTTTCCCTCATGTATATCCTCCCGAATTTAAAGACATGATTTAAAATTTTTTAATCTTATATTTAACAGTTAATTCATGCACACAGTACAAAATTCAAATGTTACAATAGGATATACAGTGAAAGTGAATCCACGTCTATCATTCACTCAGCTAATTCTCCCTCCATACAAAACCACTCCTGCCTGTTTCTTATCATTTCATAGATATGGTAGGTGTACAGAAGGTCTTATGTACATATTTTTTTAGAGATTTTATTTATTTTTTAGAGAGGGGAAGGGAGGGAGAAAGAATGAGAGAAACTTCAAGGCGAGGCCACCTCTCATGTGTCCCCAGCTGGACACCTTGCTAACAAGGCAGGCATGTGCCCTAGACCAGAAATTGAGCCAGTGACCCCTTGATTCGCAAGCCAGAACTCAACCACTGAGCCACACCAGCCAGTAGTTATATACACATTCTTTATAAAATGGGGAATTTCCAAATTTTGGCTTGGTAGAATTTTATGCTACTAAATTAGGAATTATCCTGACTTCTTACATAACCTTGTATGCTAAGAATAAAGTGAGTTTTAAAAATTATTTGAAATACTAGCTCTGACTAGTGTGGCTCACTGGGTTGAACATCATCCCACAAACTAAGAGGTCCCAATTCGATTTCCCATCAGGGCATGTGCCAGGGTTGCAGGCCAGGTTCCCGGCTGGGGATGTGCAAGAGGCAACCAATTAATGTTCCTCTCGCACATCACTGTTACTCTTTGTCTTTCTGTCTCCCTCCCCCTCTGTCTAAAACTAAATAAAATCTTTAAAGATTACTTAAAATACTAAATATAGAGTAGAGAGACCAATATAAAAATACCTATGTGCCCATCATACAGGTTGATTATTTAAGTCTTGGTTTAATACTCTTACAAATTTTCTGAGATTCTGTCAGTGAGAAATGAAAAGAATTAGGTTTTCAACTGCAGCAGCCACAGGGTCTTGCAGTTTGCTCTGTTGGTGTTAGCTGGGAACAACATATGCATACATTTTTCATAGCTTTTCCAGGAGTAAAACTAAGTTGAAAAATATATTGTACTTATGCTTTTTTGAAATCTTTGGTTAGTATCTGTGCAAGAAGTATACCTAACAGATTTTTAAAGCATTAATATTAATTTTTTTAATTCCTAGTAATTGCACATGTGGGGCTAATCTGATGGGTTTAATTTAGTTCCTTTCATAGAGAAAAAATGCTGAATCTATTGCATTTATTATTTAGATATATGTAAGTGACTTGCATGCTTAAAGGAACTTAGTTTTATTAGCACTTTTTGATGAAGCATGAATATTATGAATGCTAATTTTATATCCACCCACAAATGTAATTTCTGTCCAGACTTGACAAATCTAGTTTTTTTCTTAGTTCCACTTGCCTGTCCTGATACATCTGCAGAACTTCAAAAGGATTTTACAGAATGCATCTCTTTTATACATCAATATGATGCCCGGAAAACTCCCAATGAGCCTATCAGGGGCAAGGTGAGACCATATTTAGAATCAATTATTTAATACTTTAGGAAGAGATATATTTACATGAGAACTAAATTTAAGCCTTTTCAAGCCATAATCACCTTTCTCAGACTCTATTTAAACAAGTTAATATGGTTACTAGGAAGACAAAAATCTCAACTGTGTCATAGTTAAAACTAAGGAATGATTTTCCTTAATTTTGGATCATAACTTTAAATCACAGCATTTGGTGTGTGGTTTAAATGATTAAAATCATTCACTTTCAGTACAAGCAAAGCTGCAGTTTGATAACTTTTGATATGCTCATGTGTGCACTGCAGGGGGATCAAACAGAAATGTAGTAGTCAACTGCTGGATTTTTCCCAGCTACGAATGTTTGTTTTCATATTCACTGTAACTAAGTCTTTTGTTGGAACTAGTAGACATTGGGGATGCACTCATCAATCCTCGGGTCTGTGGACTGTAGTTTCTATTGTATCCATTGCACAACCCAGACAGGAAGACGTGAACATTGATAGGGATAGTCTCACACAGCACATATGACGGCTGAGTTGAGAATGTGAGATAGTGAGACACTGCATCTCTGACTTTCTGCTTTTCCCTTCCTGTTCATTTTCTGGTGCACCCTACTTTATAATTCATTTAAAAGTTTCACCAGTAAATATCATGGACTAAGGTAACGGCCAGCGAAGAAGCAGAGACCTCAGTGTCTGAATCACCAGGTCTTGATCTAACACATGAACTCATTCGTATTTCCAGCAACTCATGCTCCCTGGTTAATGTCAACTTTGTTTTCCTTTCCAGCGACATGGAGTCTTCATTCAGAGAGAGATAAAACCAGGGAGTAGGCCAAGAGTCCCTAAGGGAACAGAGGTATCACTGAATGCTCCAGGGTCATGCTCATCAGAACAGTCCAAAACAACAGAGAAAGGAAATTCAGCAGAAAGCAGAATGATCTCACCGGGCCTCTGCCCCTGCCGACAAAATCCCCAAGAGCTGTTAGAGACTAAAACTCACTTATCAGAAACAGGCGTCAGAGAGGCAGCCAAGGCACGCCCCAGAAGTCCTGAGAGAAGGGAGAGGATTGCAGGCGTCTTTCCAGCAGCTGCAGTTGTTTGAAATCACCAGGCACAATCCCTCAAGTCCACCAATAAAAAGTAGGGATAAATTATCTTCTTCAGATAAAGATACAATCCTTGGAATGTAGAGAAATTTTACAGTCATCATATAGGCCCTTGCATTTGCTTCTTCTCTTAACAATAACTTCAGAACATACAATTTATATAAATGGGAATATAAAAAGAGGCAGTTGCAACATACCAAAATTTTAAGAATGGTCTACAATGGGTTGTCAATTATGAGACGTATTTTTATATTATACTGTTTTTTAAAGATTTTATTTTTTTTTAGAGAGGGAGAAAGGGTGGCAGGCAAGAGAGGGAGAGAAACATCAACGCAAGAAATATCAATTGGTTGCCTCTCCTAGGCGCCCTGACCGGGGAACAAACCTGCAGTCCCGGCACGTACCCTGACCAGGAATCCCAGAGACTCGTTGTTTTGTGGGATGACACCTAGCCAACTGAGCCATACCAGTCAGGGTTTGGCTGGTAAATATTTATTTATGAATAAATATTATTAACCTTTTAGGAGACAGGCCCTTTAGACAGTCACTAGTTATGGCTCTGGAATCAAACAAACCTGGGTTGAAATTTCGGCTCTGCCATGTATGAGCTGTGTGACCTTGGGTAAATTACTTAGCCTGTCTAGACTTTGGTTTCCTCACCTGTAAAATTAGAATGATAGTGACCTCATAATTTTATTGAGCATGAGATTATGCACACACTGATCTATCAGTGACCCATGTAATCACATCATGACTATTACTATAGTTAAATTTCAATTTAAGGAGAATGTTCTGTAAATTTAACATATCCTCTTTCTTCTAAAACTCTGAATCCCTCTGTATGTAATTAAGAATATGAAAATCTTAGGACATTCTTCCAGTAAAAAACATACACACTTATATGCACACTCAATCCAAAGACATATGGGTACTTAAATTATCAAAATATTTTCTAAATTGTGTTCTCTATTACTTAGATCATTTCTGGCACTGACTCAACTTTTGCTATTTTGAGTGAGTTGAGTGTGGTTAATTCTACCAGCTATTCTGTTTGGTACTTATGGTGTGCCAGAATGTGTCTATGAGAAACTACATGTTGCACACAAGTAGAAGTAGGTGAAGTATCCCTCTGCTGCCAAAAGAGTATTTACAAGTCCCCCCAAATGTCCACAGAAATATACCACACTATTAGTTACGTATATTGACAGTACCACACTTATTGACAGTACAAACAATAGTTACACAGTATTGTTTGTACTGTCAATGAGACTACAGGTGTACCTGTATCTCTTTTTCCTCCACTACAAAAATTTTAACAGGTGACAAACAAATACCATTATTATACATTTGTGTGTTGGGGTCATCAGTTCTTACATAACAGAATAACAGTGAACCCCTTTCATTACAAACACCTTGAAGTACTGGGGTGGGGGGGAGAAACAACAAACAAATATGTAGCCGAGCTCACAAAACAGAGAAGTCCTCATGTTCCAAAATAGAGAACTTACTTGTATGTCAGCATATATCTTGAAGATCTTTCCTTGCCAACACATGTAGACCACCTTATTATTTTAATGCCTGCATAGTATATTCCACGATATAGATATACTCTATAATCGGAGCAATAAGAATGCAAACTTCAGTGCATGTGTAGAAAGGGTGTAACAGTCATTAGCAGATTGAGAGAGAGGTCTTAAAGGCTAGGAATTTGAGTTTTAATCTGCACTGGAACATCAAAGGAAACTTTTGACATCCGAAGTAGAGAGTTGGAGTTGAAACCTGCATGAAGCTAGATCCCTCAAGTAGCTGGCCTATAGGTACAAGGCAGACTAGAAGAACTCCACTCACACAACCAGGCAGACAGCAAGGAAGTTTGCCTCTGCCTGGAACTATAGTCAGTGAATAAAATTTTTGTTAGAAAGTACAGTCTCAAGGTTGTGCCATGTTCCAGTTGGAATTTGAATTTATATGCAGGACATCTCATTGGACACAAAATCAACATAAAAATCCTGCTGGTGATAACACTAAAGTGCTCAACAATACAACTGCAAAACTCTATTTCCACAACCCAGAGAAAAAACAGTCCCTATTAAAGATAAGGTCACGAACAAAATTACAAATGAAAATTACAAATCACACAGAGAAGATCAAACAGAGCAAGAGTTTGCAATACAACCAAGAGGATGATTCAAACCTCAAAAGTGGAGGAATTCAAACACGTGCAGTTTGAAGATTCTTGTCTTTCTCCCACTCTGGAAAATTTTATTCTCCAGCCTTTTCAGTTATTTCCATCCCTTCCATTCTCTCTCTTCTTTCCTTCTTGAACAGCTACTGGCTAAATGGTGGAAAACTGAGATTTAGCTTCTATGCCTCTCAACTTTTCTCTCATTATCCTTCTCCTGGTTCTTTATCACTAAATAATGCAACAACCCCTTGACGCTAGCTTTCTACTAATTTTCTTTCCAGCCATGTCCATTACTATGCCAGACTATCTATTGAAATTTATAAAATTTTAGTATTCTATCTTAATTTCCAAGATCTGTGCTTCTATTTAAGAAGCATGCATCAGAAGTCCTGATGCATGCTTCTTAAATACATAAGACCTTTCCTATAATATAGATATGACAGCCCCTCCTAACCCTTTAGAATATTGTAAGTCTTTTGTTTCCTCTCTGAAGTCTATTAAGTTTTATTCGTTTAGTGCAATGCCTCACTTTCTTGGTATTGTACCTTTTTCTTCAATGTTCAGTGATTCTTGGTTGTATACTCTTCTTTGATTATGAGATTTCGAGATCCCTGTCAGTACAAGCTGTTTCTGTCCATTACGGCCTGACTTTAGGACAGGGTAGGGATATGCAGTCAGACGGGACCTGAGGATGATTTGTCTGATGGGGTCTCTGGTCCTCCTGGAGGTCCCAGCAACCCAGGCCCCGCCTTGCTTTTTCAGACCCAGAGATGATTCAGTTCCCACCATGGCTGCCCAGTGCTCGGCACAAGCAGTGCAGGGAGGGGATGTCTGATTTGCTGTTCCACATACTGTTCCCTAATTTCTCAAACTGATAAGTGCCCCTAGTCCCTTCTACTTTGTGATACCCATTGACTCTCAGCCCACAGTTCCTAAGGCCACTTCCACGGCAGCCGCCTCTGCACGGTTCAGGTCGTTTCCTTTAGTTTTGTTCCTGCACTTATTTGTACTTGTAATGACTATTTAATTAGTTAAAAATGCATTTCTTCTGATAATGAGTTTCCCTGTTTCTCACTGCTACTAAAATCTTTTATTATCTATATCTATCCACAGGTATTTTCTTGGGATTTAGTGGGCAATAAGCAGTAGATGTGAGCCTGCCATTTTGAGTCAATCTCTAGTTTCCTTTTAAGTAAACCATTGGCAAACTTCATACTTCCACCATCAGTAAGTAAATCTCTGCAGTGGGCCTCCCAGTTTACTGACAAACATCACTGAGAACTGACCTTTTTCTCAGAAAATATGTTTGAGTGAGAGATAAAGGATCTGGCACCAAATAGCCTAGTGAGTGGGTCACTACCACAGGCTACGTTGGTGGTTCTCCACATCTTCAAAAAAAAGGACATCTTTTCTGCATTAAAAAAAATATTTATGGTCTCTCACAAAATAGTAATAAAACTTTCAGTATCCATTGTTTGAGAAAACACATAACAACAAAATGCGATGATGACTTCCAGGTTCAAGTCTCTGTTTTTAACTGCTGAGGGTCTATCTCTCTATGATGAATTCATAGTCCATTGGAGTTATAATGGCCTGTCAGTACAGATAGTGCTCTTAAATTTCACAAGAAAAATGTTTTTCAAGTACAGTAATGCCCTTATTAGGTATTTTAATAGAATAATAGCTTTACCAAGATACAGAATTTTTGCCAGCTTGCCAAACCATACAAAAAACATGATCTTTCATTTAATGTAATATTTTTAAGAATACCTTAATGAATGTGCTAATGGTTCTCAACCCTTAACATTGCTATTACTAGTACCATAAATTTGTGTGATGTTTTAAGTTTTAAACCATTTTCAAATCTGTTATCTATCTCATTTGATGCTTATAATAAGCCTATGAACAGAGCAAATAATAATAATATCCCAATTTTATAGTAAATGTAGACTCAGAGAACTTCAGTGATTTCCCCAAGTTTGCAGTTAGCAAGCAGTAAAACCAGGACCAGAACTACTTTCTCAATGCCTATACAATACAATTTACTTGTATTTCCAAATGTCAACCAATGGGACAGTGCTGGCCTATTACAAATGAAAAGGCAAGGCCAGTATAAGAAGTATCAGGAAAATAATTCTAACACTTTTATTGAGACATTATCATTTTACTCTTTTGGGGACTTATGTTGCTCCTCGTTATACTTCTTAACACTATAAAGGACTAAATACATTTGGGAAGCACCTGTCATTCCTAACACAGATAACTGTTCATTAAAATATAACAAAAACATTTGAAATGCACAGGTAAGCACTAAAATAAGAAACTGAAATCCTTGAGTGCCATAAATGAAGAGAACACTAAAGTGGTGAACAAGAGGTGAGGCTGAACAGGCAACTGGAGAAATGGAATCTGAAGTTGAACTTAGAGGCAGGGGTTTCAGTAGCTGAGCTGGAAGGGGAGATGAGGCCCCATGTGCCCTGGAGCTGGAGCTGAACAGAGAGCCAGGATGCCAGAAGAGCTTTGCTGCTGTGCGAAGGACTCTAGAAGGTCCCCTGCCATTAGCCTGAGAATTTGGGGAGGAAGCGAACTGATGACCACTCAGACGACACACCTCCCAAACCGTACACAGGAGTGGGAGTCAAATGTGCCTTCATGAGTAGCACCAGTTGCCAAGCCAGACAAGCAATAGAAAAACCATTGAACCAGGGAAACATGAAGGGCCCTGGTAAATACGAAACTGCCTATAGTAAGAAACATTTTATAACCCTGGGTGCGTGAGCCCCATGGAGACACACCATGATGAGATGCCATATATAGTTGCACACACACATATGCGAGAAGAAAAACTTTTAGAAGGGAGTTAGCAGAATTCATGCCCCAAGAATTACAGGCAATGGGGCAAATAGAC